TGATATCCACGCGCCGATGTTTAAATCACCTCCATCTCACTCCCCCAATCATCCTCATCAACAAAGTCATAACCAATCACAGTATCACAACAACGTGCCTAGTTACTCTAACGGACCAAATATCTCTCAGCATTCGCATAATCGACCAGAGTACCCTCCACCTATCGGCCGCAACATACCAGTAGAACAGTTGTTTAGCATGATTCCTCCACGTAACGTTCCACAACAAGCTCCTCCGCAATTTCAACAGCCTCCCATTCCACCTCAAATACCATTTGGTTATCAACCTCAAACTGAACGCTATCCTCAACAAATCCAGTTTAATGGTCCTTCGATACCACATCATCCTGTCCATCATCATCCAGGAATGTTGCCACCCGGTACCGAGGCTCTTTTTGCAAACATGCACGGATATGCACAGTTTATTCCGAACATTGTGAACAATGCAATGGCTCCGAATAATATACCAGGTATAGATTTTCACTCACAAAATTAATAATAATCGCACCTTTATATTAATCCTTTTTTTGTAACAGGCATTCCAAATAGTACGAATATACAACAACGTGGGATGATGACTTTGGAAGAAATCGAGAGACAAGGATTTGGTGGCCGTTAAAAATATTATAGAACAATCAATTACATATATTCTTCTATTTTCCATCGTTTTTATTTTTGCGTCTCTGTCATGCCATCATTACGAACACCATCCTCTCCTTATTTTATCTTTGAGAAATACACTGTAATTACACAACAATGTACGTATATATACATATATATTTCAATAATATCTCAACTCCAGTGTAATATCAGAGATTTCAAGAAATGTAGCATTGCGAATTTCTGTTAATCGTTGTAATATTTATACCATAAGATGATGAATGTTATAAACAATGTTCTTGTCTTCAGGAATGTTATGGGAGGTATGTTTGTTATCAGAAAAATTTACAATGGCTTAAAATGCTTAATGTTGCCTCGTCCAGTGAAGTCCTAATTGGTTAGTTCGATTTCGAGTAATTGAGCTTCTCTGCACAAATCGCGCATTTCGTTATGCTCAGCTAAGTCATATTCTTTATGATCAATTCTTACATTTTCATTCTCTTATCACTTTATTTTTGTCGTTTTTCATTAATATGTGTAACATTAAAATTTTAACAAGTACTTGTATTTTAATTATTTTGACTCAAGAATTTTATTTTTTTACAGTATATTTATTATTAGATTTTAATCTAGATTTTATTGTATATAAATGATATTTTTTTTTCTTTTTAGAAAGCTGATTTTTTGTCTTGAATCATTTTTATAAAAAAATAAATATTTGAATTCCAGATGTTTTATATCAATTTTTAATAAACATAAATTGTTATTCTTAAAATGTTTGGACGCAGTCTAGTTATCAGGGGATAGATTAGTGGAGCAACCAAAATTCAGCAGATCGGCCAACATTTAGGATCGGAATAGGCCGGAGTTGATAAATTTCCCTAAAATTTTACTAACGCTAAGTAAAGCTGCCCAGATGATCATATAGATGGATTTGATGCATATGATCAGGGTTGTAATTTTCAAATTTTTTTGGTAAATTACCTGAGCTATTCGGTAAATTACCCGTAAATTTACCTTAATTGCTGATCCGGATAAGATCGGCACAATTTCTATATTAGGATTTAGGGCAAAACTCCTATGATATTAACTATATGCTGAAATCTGGCGCCACTCCAATGAAAAGTAATTTTTTTATTAAGTTAACAACTCAAGTCAATTAATTGAAAGTTGTAGAGCTCACTGAGACGCATCTAATGGTGGTTAGATCATTCAAATCGGTTCAGTGTATGCTGAGATATCGTTAAAAAATGATTGGTCGACTATATAAAATTTTTGGTTTTTTTACATAGAATTTTATATAGTCGGCCAATCGTTTTTAGCGATATCTCAGCATATACTGAACCGATTTGAATGAGCTAACCACCATTAGATGCGTCTCAGTTAGCTCTACAACTTTCAATTAATTGACTTGAGTTGTTAACTTAATAAAAAAATTACTTTTCATTGGAGTGACGCCAGATTTCAGCATATAATAAATATTTATATTGTACTTATCCCAAAATTTACTATTGTCCCAATATAGTAATTCTGTCGATCTTATCCGGATCATCAATTAAGTTATTTTGAATAACAAAGTTTGTGTAATATAAATCATGTGATTTGATAGCTAAAAATTTTTTTAGCCAATCAAATTATATAATTTACAGATAAATCTATGTATACAAGGTAAATTTACCACACTTTTGGTAAATTATCTGGTAAATTACCATAATTCACTAATAGTAATTTATCATTTACAACCCTGTATATGATGATTATTTGAAAGTGTGGTCACAACCAGCTTAATTTGGCTCAGATTTATAATTATATTTTTTTTTAGGGATCATCTAAAGCCAGGTGTGTTTACATGACCAACAGCCAATCAAGTAATAAATTTGATTTACTTAGATTTGTCCGACAAGACAAAAACAAAGAAAAAAAGTGAAAAACACAAAAAATAAAGAAAACAAGTATCTAAACCTATTTTGGAGCACTAATAAAAAATATCGAGAAGGCAATTTTACTTATAAGTTTTGTTTTAATCTTAACTTCTAACTAACTTTATTTTAATTTTAATTAAATATTCAAAAATATAAAAATATCTTATATTTAAAAATAAGCTATTTAATGATCATTAGTAATTATTTTATAGTAAAGTCAAAATTTTACTAAGTAAATCGATATAGCTTATTAAATAAAGTTGTTCATAAGATCAAAATACATATATTTTAAAAGTATTATCCAAATTGGATAACTTTTTATTAATACGTGTTTGTATATTATGTTTGATAAATTTTTTATAATTTCTTTAAATTTTATATTCATTGAAAGTAAAAATCAAAAGTCAATTAATAAAAGGTTATTCTATTTATATAAAACTTTCAGAATATATGTAATTTTATTTTTTGAACAACTTTTAATATATATGATCAATTTACTTAATAAAATTTTTTGCAATTGGCAAAATAACTATTATCTATATTTAAACTCAAACTAATTTGCAAACTTCAAACCAAACTTAAATCAAACTTATAATGAAGTTTGAATTTGATTTGAGTTTGAAAATTAATAAAATTTATAATTTAAGTTTAATAAAAATACCAAACCAAATCCAAACTTAAACTAATCAAACTAAACTTAAATACTCTAGCTTACTTAAAAACAAAACTAAAATAATATATATCTTAAGACTTCCTATATTGTTTTTCTATAGCTCAGTTTTTTGTTATGTTGTTCAGAAGATTATCAGAAAAAGTTGCTTTATAAGTGACAATATATATCAACTATACTATAACAAAATTACATATAGATAAATTAAATACATTTTTATTAATATGATATTTTTGAATTGTATATCAATTTTGTGATTATCTTAAATTTAAACCAATCAAATTTTTGGTTTGATTTCCTATTTTAGGGTTATTTAAAGCCTAGCACCTTATGAAATTACCTGATTTTCCTGATTTTTAATAATTAATATTAAAGTTAGTATTAGGATTTGATAGAAGGTGTTTATATATAGTAAAATTGCCTTTTTGACACTTTTACTTAATAAACCAAGATCAGTTTAAATAGCTATTTTTTATATATTTCATGTTTTTGTCTTTGCTATTTTATTTTATTTTGTTTATACTGATTCAGGTTATATATTGGGTGCTTTTATA